GGGGGGGGGGGGGGGGGGGGAGAAAGTTATTTTTAAATTATGTCGAGTAATTTTGAGGATGTGGGATACAATCCTGTATGCATGCAAAATGCATGTTGAAGCAGAACCACTGGAAGAACACCCAACTAATTAGCAGACAGAAGCTGGTGTCATGGTAAAAATGTCATAATGTGTTCCTCTTGCCCTGTGATTTTTTTATAAAACTCTGGAATGCTGGTTCTTTAAGGAATTTTCAAATGACTTTGTAAATATATTGTTATGTATATTTATGACCTTTAAGAAACATTATTTATTAAGTTATTTGCTTCATATATCACACTAAATTTCATTTGGCGAATGGTTTTTGTGCCACAAATTCCAATGAAGAAAAAAAGTTTTAAAAATTATTTTAATATATTTCATTAAGTCTTTTTATATTTATGCTGCTGCAGCCAAAACTTCTGGAACAAATCCTGAGCCTTGAGGACAGCCGACTTCTAGCACATCTGAAATTGTGTTCAGCAATGGGCCAGCTTCCTTATAATCTTTGGTTTAGAAAGTGTTTTGCTGGATGCCTTCCTGAATCCAGTTTACAAAGGCAAGTTTCTCTCCCATCTCTCCTAGATTGGACAAATTAAGTCCCTGTAGTCTTCTTCAGTGGAACATATGCCCATGAATCACATGGACATAATGTTTTGACAGTCAGCAATTTCCAGCATTCTGAAAAATATGTCAATTGTTCAGCTTTTCTAGGAGTTGTGTATACACTGAGATGTGATTTTAATCAGGAAAGAAATATATCAATAGTGAATATAAATTATAGATATAAAATTAAGAACATACAGTTTTATGACTCTGTGGTTGAATTTTCTAGGGTTTGGGACAAAGTTATTAGTGGTTCTTGCAAAATCCTTGTCTTTGTTGCTGTTGAGATCTTATTAACCTTTAAAATGAAGTTGATGGCCTTGAATAGTGCAGAAAAGATCGAACAGTTTTTGGAAAATGTAAGTATTCTTTCATACTGTACATTGTAAATCCTAGAAAAGCATTGTTTTAATTATACTCAATGGTATCTTGAAGAGCAAGAGATAAACAACTGGTTCTACTCAATTTAGAAAACTGAAGTCAAAAGTGGGAATTTTTATTTGTATTTATATCCAGTTCAAGCAAGTCAAGTAATGGACAGTGCTAACCATGGCTGACAGTACAAGGTTAGAAATGATAATCAGAGTTTCTAGGTCTATAGCAGTTTCAACATTGTTTGCTTCAGTGTCTTGATTTGATATTCTATATTTTGCAGCCTCTAGCCATAAATTGTGATTTATAGCTCACAATGGTTGAGTTCATTCATTGTGCTAAGTCATAATATAAGGGGTTTTGGTTGCAGCTTGGCATTAAATATGAACCCAGCTCTGTAAACCATGATTTATATCTTTGTGTTATCTGTGAATGAGGTTACTGTAGCTTGTTTAACAAAACATGATGTAAAAGCCATGGCTGAGCATCATTTAATTTCAGGGGATTCTTTTAAACTGTGGTTTGGTTTGAACTCTGAATTTAAGGCAGAAGTATTAACTGGCTGAACTCATTCATCCCTGAAGGAAATCTGTTTTATCCCCTTTCATGGATTTTGGAAGGATGATGGTTTTTAGAAAAGTCTTTGAATCATAGATTATTGTGTTCTTTGTAAAATAGCTTCTTTTAAAAAATCAGTTTCATATCTGTTGTAATATTTTATAGCGTGTTACTGTGTCTTATTTTTAAAACTTAAAAGATATTGTTTTAAACTGTTAGCCGTCTTAGACTGATTGAGGAAATAGCAGATGCTGTAAAAAAGTAAAAGTTCTGAACAACTTTCACAGATGGTTGGGTTGTGAGGACAGAGGTGACAGTACCACATCAAACTATTTATCTTTTCTGCATTTGTGACCATAGCCCTTGTTTTTCTCTTATAGGATAAAGCAGGGAATGGGTGGTGGTAGTAAAGAAGATCTCTAGGGACCTTCTATAGGGAATAGGAAGGTTAATATAACTGACATAGAATAGATTTCTAAGCAATCACTAATGCATTTGTGGATCTACTTTGCAGGCAGCCTTACTCTTACATTTCCCTGGAAGGAATGCAGTAGCTCCATTGTTTGCCTACAGGGAGCTGATCCTTCCTGAGAAATGAATGAGCTGAAAAGCTCAGTGTGTATCAGAGCCCTTTGGTTCCTTGGGAGGTTTGAATGGAAAAGACAGAACTGAGATATTAGCATTACAATTCTGTACACATTGACCTGGGAGTAATCCCCCTGTGTGTATTGGAAGACGTGATCCTGGGTAAACATACTCTAGACTGCACTGTAAAACAACTCTGTATCTCAAGCTAAATATGTTTTTATCTTTCATAGATACCTCAAGATAACACTGATGCAATTGTGAGCAAAGCTATTGAATTATGGCACAAACATTGTGGGACCCCTGCTCATTCAGTTTGAAAATATCTGCTTTTCTGTTTTTGTTTGTCTCTTTCCCTCTCCAAAATATATAATTAAAATTATTTAAACATTATGGGTACAGTGGTCATAATTGTGATGTGTTACTCCTGTGGCAGAGAGTTGGAATCTGTGGTATGACAACTCCTAGCAGTCCCAGTCAGCATTGTGAATGGTGAAGGATTCTGGGAGTTATAGTTCAGCAACATTTGGAAGGTCACAGGTTCCCTATCAGAAGGACCTCTACATACATATGCGTAGAAGAGATGCTTTTTAGGAAGGGGCTGATTGGGAAATGGAAAGCCTAAAAGCGAAGTATTTTGAAAGTAAAGTTTTGATCAATTTAATGTAGTGCTCATTCATTCTCTATTTAATGAGGCCGTCAAGTGAACAAGCTCCTTCTTATCATGCAGACTCTTCTAGATTTGAAGAAGGGAGTATATTGGCCATAGCAGTTCAATAGTGCAACCTTCTACCCTTGGTATAACAGGTCCTATCTCTGTCTAAACTAATTGCAGTCAAGTGGCAGGTGTTCCTCTTATATATCTCCATTTCTGTATGTGAGGCAAAGCAAGGTAAAAAAGGGTGAGCAATCAGTATATAAAAAGGGATCAGCAGCTGCCGGTGTTTATAACAGATCAGATTAAAATGCTTTGGGCTGCTTTTTCATGGTTTGCCCACTATATTGACTCATAAACTAACCAGTTAGGCTGGGTTTGCACAAAATTGCTAAGCTGTGAAACAAATCAAGGTTAAAATTAATCAAGCACAGTACATTATATGAATGCATCTGCTAGGATTTTAACTGACCTGGTTAAACATGTTGGGTGAAGATAGGCTTTGTGTTGTGCTTTTCTTCACACACAGTAGGAGGCAGAATTAATGCTTCTGCTATTTGACATTTCTAACTAGAGGCCCATTTGAGCATGACTTCTGCAGTCTTAAATATACATTTTTCTGAGTAAGATACAGGACTGAATATATAGGCTTCTGAATGAAACTGATTATCTCAATCTTAATTTCCATTTTGGAACTGAGATCCTTTTGATCAGGTAAACAACTTATTCTGGAAGGAGGTCAAGAAGATTGTTCTAGTGCCACTGGCCACTTTTTAATAACATGAGTTTAGAAAACAAACTATCAGACTGGATCAGACCAGCCTGAAATCTCAGCAATCTTCTTTCTTCATACGAGTTCATCCAAAAAGGAAGGAAATCAGAATTTTTGCTATTTTGAAGTAATTCATTTAGCAGCATGCTGTTTATGAAAGAGGAATTAAATTATAGCCTTCAGGGCTATTAGCCATTGATATCCTTCATAAATTTGTCTAGTGCTGGTAGTCCTCATTTAATATCCACTCATTCAGCGACTGTTTGAAGTTATAACAATGCTGAACAAGGGGTACTTACGATGGGTCCTCATAGTTGTGGCTATCACAGTGTCACCACAGTCCTGTGACCATGATTTGGGTGCTTGGCGACCGGCTCGCAGTTATGATGTTGCAGCGTCCCACGATCACATGATCACCATTTGCGGCTTTCACTGTTGGCTTCCAACAAGCAAAGACAATGAGGAAGCCAGCAGGAGACTGCAAATGGTGATCTTGTGACTGCAGGATGCTGTGACCATGCAGGATTCACCTAACAATGGCAACGGAATGCTGGAACTGCTGTTGTAAGTTAGCATGTTCAGGAGGCATGCCTTACAACCATGTTGCTTAGCAATGGAGTTCCTGGTCCCAGTTACCATTGGTGAGTGAGGACTACCTGTAGTCCCTAAATTGGTGGTTACTAGTACATATTGGTTAGCAAATTTCATAATTCTGTGAGACAAAATGCCCCAAATTTCCATCTCATTACAGGAGACATAATTTCTTTCAGCCCATTATACAGTGCATTCAGAAAGTATTCAGACCCCCTTCCCTTTTTACAATTTTGTTATGTTGCAGCCTGATACTACAATTGTTCA